CTTTGACAAAGGGGCCAAAAGCATACAATGGAGGAAAAAGACAGATGCTTTAACCACTTAACAGTTAACCCCCGAGCATCACTTACGCAGCACATTTGCTTATGTACTGACTATCCTGATCCTTGCTCAGGCACATGTCATTTTAACTAGTCAATTCTTGTTTGCATGAGATACTTGTTCTATATCGACTATTTTTTGCATACATTTTTATTCAGAACATTGTATTTGCCTGCAATGTTTGTTTCTAGTGACATTTAATAATAAGTTCTGGTTATTTTCTTTTACTAATTTATGTTTATTTTATTTATGAAGAATAACCTATAATTTTGTGCTACAATCTATAAAAATTCTTATCACAAGTAATTAGATATAATTTTTATACTTCTTGAAAACTCAGTGATATTCTATTAAAATACAAAATGGACATGTTTGAGACAACGAGACTGAATAGGAATGGAGTGCCAAAGGATCTGTAAAAGAAAAACTGAAAAAGGGAGAAATGTCAGCATATCAGTGAAAAAAAGGTCTATGCTTTGAAATGGAAAGACAAAAAAGAAATCTTACTGTCAACTATTCATAACACAGAAATGACAGAACTTGAAAGAAGAAACAAAACTAAAAAATTCCAAAATTCAGTCATAATAATTCCATTGGTATTGACAGAATGGGTCAAGATCTAACAAACGATCCTGTAATTAAAAAGTAAGGAAAATATTATTATAAAATATTTATGCACCTTTTGGGCCAAACAATATGGAACTTGTTTGTTATTTATTCAAAGGAAGGAGGTTCAAGGAGTCACAATTTAGATTAGGTCTAATAGACCAAATGTTTGAAAAATACAGGCTAGTCAAGGCCAATCAGGCTGTCCATCATTGACGCCTTCACCATTAAGTTTAGTGGGGAGACATTTTATTGAAATTATGCGACCCACAGAAAAAAGGAAAGGTCAACATGACAGTGTAGGGGGCTGGGGATTTAGCTCAGCGGCAAAGCGCCTGCCTGCCAAGCGCAAGGTCATGAGTTCGGTTCCCGGTACCGGAAAAACAAACAAACAAAAAACAAACAAACAAACAAACAAAAAAAACAACATATTAAACATGACAGTGTAAAGTGTGTTGTTCAAAAAAAGATAACAGGGGCTGGGGATTTAGCTCAGTGGCACAGCACCTGCCTGGCAAGCCCAAGGTCCTGAGTTCGACTCCTGGTACCAGAAAAAAAACCAAAAAAAAAAAAAACAAAGAAAGATATCAATGCAAATGAATTTGGAAAGAGACCAGATGCTACTGTTCAGATTGTAATGCTACATTGTGTATTGAATGTTTTAAAATATACCACATATAGAAAAAATATTGAATAAATTTGATAAAATTGTCATTTTATATTTCCTTTTATATTATCCTATAAAAATTAATGAAAACTATATAATTTTAGTCATCCTGTATTTAAATAATTGGACTGGTAAGTGGTTAATAAATGGTACTGGGAAAATCAAATATCCACATACAGAAAATTGAGTCTAGTTCCATATATCTCACATATACTAAACTAAAATCAAAATGGATCAAAGATCTAAACATTAAAGCAGAAAATCAGCTGGGTGTGGTGGTGCATGCCTGTAATCTCAGCACTGGAGAGGCAGAGGCAGGAGGGTCGTTATGAGTTCGAGACCAGCCTAGGCTACATAGTGAGTTCAAGACCAACTTGAATTGCACAGCGAGGACTTATATCAAACAAACAAGCAAAACAGAAAATCTACTGGAAAATAAAATGGTTAAAACTGTTGAAGACATAAGTTTAGGCAAGGCTTTTCTGAACAGAACCCCAGTGGCACAAGAAATACCAAAAAATAGCAAAAATCAACAAACGGAATCAAATCAAATGAAAAAGCTTCTGCACAGCAAAGGAAACAGTTAAGACAGTGAAGAGACAACCTACAAAATGGAAAAATATTTTACTAGTAATTCCTTGGACAGAGGACTGACAATTAGAATATATAAAGAAATAAAAAATGAGTCCCCTGAAATAAAAGACCCAATCAAAAATACACAACTGAAATGAACAGCCACTTTCTAGGTAAAGTACAAATGACTAATAAATACATAAGGATATGTTCTGCATAGCTGGCCACTAGAGAAATGCAAATTAAAACATCACTGAGATACCATCTTACTGTAGAAAGAATGGTTATCCTCAAGACATCAAACAATAACAAATGTTGGCCAGGCTGCAGAGAAAAGGAACTCTTCTGCATTGTTGGTGAGAACGTAAACTAGTACAACCACTATGAGAATCAGTGTGGGAATTCCTCAAAAAACTGAAAATAAAAATTCCATTTGACCTGGCTGTTCACTTTCTAGGACATTTCCCAAAAGTATCACAGTCATCAAATTAAATGCATACATTCCCATGTTTATAGCAGCACAATTAACAATAGCTAAACCTCGGAAACAGTCAATTTGCCCATCAACAGATTAGTGGATAAAGAAAATGTGTTATTTATACAGTGGAATAATATGCTGTCATAAAGAAGGATAAAGTTGAGGCATTTGTAGGTAAAGGGATGCATCCTGAGAACATAGCATTAGGTGAAATAAATCAGGCACACAAATTTAAATTTTGCATGGTTTCTCATATAAGAAAAAAAGTATAAATAAAGAGCAAAATAAAATACAGATAATAGGAAGTAGGGACATCTTTTGCAGATGGGAAAGAAAACAAGAAATGGAGGGAGAGGGGAGGAAAAGAAGGGGAAAGGAATTCTTCAAAAAAGGGAGAATAGAAAAATAAATTGGAATACAGCTTTTGTAAATAGGAGGGGGAACAATAGTTGAAGGGACAAAGGAGGGAAAGGAGGGAAAGGGCACAAAAAAAGAGCAAAGATGTGTTATGTACATGTACAAACTCTCCATGATAACTGTAATCATTATATACTGCAAACATGTACGAATAAAAATGAATAAATAATAATAATGAAACACTATACAATAAATACATGAAAATTAATCTGAGACAATGCAAATATTTTGGCTCATCAAAAGCAGTAGTCCTTATTTTTAACAATTTCTTAACTATGTAAATAATATGTGTTCATTATAGAATAAGGAAACAGGTATATAAGCACAAAGAAGAAAACAATTATCCATAATCCACAATTCTTTTTTTTTTTTTTTGTTTTTCTCCAGTACCGGCAACCGAACTCACGACCTTGCGCTTGCCAGGCAGGCGCTTTGCTGCTGAGCTAAATCCCCAGCCCCCATAATCCACAATTCTACTACGTAGAGTCCACCACTGATGTGGTTCGGTATTTCCTATATTCCAGACGTGTATTGCTTTTCTCCCTGGATATATGACCCACTTCACTTTTAGATTAGGCATTTCACTTTTTCAAGAAATCTACAAATATAAGAAATCATCATAACTCAGTGGCACAGCACCTGCCTGGCAAGCTCAAAGTCCTGAGTTCGATTCCTAAACCAAAAAAAACCAGTCAGCATGCAAGGGAAAATGAGCGTCAGTGCACCACACAGGTCCTGCTCTGTGTCGTGTTTTTTTTTTTCTTTTTGGTACTTGAGAATGAACCCAGAAGTTCATACAGTGCTAAATCCCTAGCCTTATTATGTCTTCACATACGTATATATTTGTTTATTTTTTAATTTAAAGGCAAGCTCTCTCTCTAAGTCACCAAATTGCTCAGGCTGGGCTCCCACTGAACCGAGATCCTCCTACCTCTTCCTCACAGTGCTGCGATTACAGGCATGTACCAATACTCCCTGCTCAACGGAAACTTCTGTGTGTTCGTCCAAACGCTTTCTAGTTTCGAGTCAGCAGGAGAAAGAGGGGTGTGGATGGAAGGAGGTTGACATTTTTGAGACTCAGGATGCCCTCCCCCTGTCTGTTTGTTTGTGTCTCTGTCTCTCGCTCTCTCGCAAGTGCACGCGCACACACACACAAAATGGCAGCAACCACGTTGCCCCATGCCGTCAACCCAGGAATGAGGCACACCTCCCCCTCTCCGTGAGCAGAGTCTTTTGGGAAAGGACAAGGGCCGACACCCGTACTTCTGTACCTTGTTCTGTAGTAGCGTCTGCTGCTCTTCTTCAGGGTCCACTTTCCTCTAGAAGGAGGCCAAATACCTTCTTCTTTGAAACCCTCACCACGTTGCTGCAACCGCCAATCGAGGAGCCGTCCTTCCTACACAAAAGCAGCAGTATGAGACCTCGTCTTTCACGACGCCCTCAGTTCATATCAACCTCAGTTCGTATTGGAAGTAGAAATCCAACTCCTACTTCCCTAAGTAGGAATCCAACTCCTACTTCCCTGCCTCAGTCAGCCATGAGGCGCGGCCGACTACCTAGTAATGGACTCTCGGAGATCGAACGAACACCGCTCGGCTAAAGGGCCCCTTAACCTCTTTCACCGGAAGGAATTTGTGGAGGCACCACCTTCTTCAGTAGAGCCAATGATGGTGTAACAAATGGTCATGAAGGACTCTATGGCCAATAGGAGGCAGTAGGGGGAGGGGAAATCATGACTCCTCCCATCATAACCAAGGACACCAATGGGAACATCTCAGGAAAAAAAAAAACGTAAAACGGCTCCGAGGTTGAGTTCTTGGTGAGTTCTCAGGGAGTGTTATGAGGGGGCTTTTCTTTGGGGTTCCCATGGAAGGACTAAAGTTCTGGCACGGAAGACATAGCAGAAATCTGTGCTAACAAAAACCCCAAAACGATACTTAGTTTGAGGACCAGTCTCACAGTGGGTGATCGGAGATTATTCCGGCAAAGATCCTGTTGGGCGTCCTATCGGCGTATTACATTTTCGGTATCCTCAGTACCTGTCTTTTACACTAGAACTACCTTTATGTATCCTAGTAGTAATTCGTCATAGAATTCTTTTTCTTTCATAATAGAATTCTATGGAAATCATTGTACCAGTTTTCATTGCTTACCTAATTATGTCAGTTTCTCTGCTATGTTATTACAATTGCTCATTCTCTTGGTAAATATTTCTTGAGTATTAATTATAAGCCTGGAATTAGGCACTTGGAATTAGTTAGTAAATAGAAGTATCTTAGTCTTGTAGTGATAATTTTCTCACAGCAAAAAGACAAGGGATTAAAACAAGGAATAGTAAAATATTTGATATATCTAAAGGTAATAAACAGAGTAATAATATATAGCATAGTGAATGGGATCCAGAAGGTAGAGCAGGATGTTGATTGCATTTCAAAACAGGGTGGTGAGGGTAGGCACCATCAGACATCAATAGGTGAGCAAAGTCCTGAAAGAGGTCCTTGTGTTAACCAGGCATCTATCTGCACGAGAAGCTCTCCAGACAGAGAAGCAGCCTGTGAAGAGATTTTGAGGCAAGTGTGTGCCTTATTTCTGCAAGAAAAAGCTAAGAGGATAGAGCACAGGAAGTGAAAGCTAGAAGAGTGTAAAATATGAAGAGAGAGATCACAGAGTGCTAGGCGTTGTGGGGCCTTGTAAGGCACTGTAAATTCTTTGGCTTTTACTGTACATGATTGCTGAAGTCCCTGGAGGGTTTAGAGCCTTAGAGGGGTCCCTCTGTCTGCTTTGTGGTAAACAGACTCTAGGGGGCCAAAGCATGGAGCAAGGAGACTTATTAGGAGGAGCCTGCTGCAGTCCAGGCCACTGTGGATGAAATCTGTGTGTTCTTTCTTTTCTCAGAGAAAACAGGCACAGAGTTGTAAGATGTTCGTTGGATTGAGGTGATGGAGGAGAGGGACCCAAAAACCAGGTAAGGGCAGAGTTGGGGCACCAGGAGAGGACTAAGCGGAGGGAGTGTTCTGTGCAATGTGCTGGAAGTGTTCCCTGGATTTAGGGCATCACAAGGAGTTTGAGAAATGCATGTGAGAAGCAGGCGGTCATGAAGGGAGCTTAGGAAGTGTGGCTTGTCTTTTCAATAGGAGTCAGAATGAAAAGCATGAGGGGAATGAAAATGTGGTATTTCCTTGTGGTATTAGTAATAGGTAAGATGTTAAGGTGTGTGCTCTGTATTAGCTTGCCAGCACAGACAAAATATCTGGCACCTTTAACCCATAGCCAGAAGTTTAACATGGCTCATGGTTTTGGAGGATTCAGTCCAGGTTCTGCTGGCTCCAAGGGTGAAAGGGCTTGGCAGAGGAAAACTTTGTCCATTCACTGATTGTGGTGTTTCTTTTTGTCTTTTCAGTGTTTATAAAAATATATATATAGTATATATTCATTCTAGATATTAATACACTGTGTAAAGAATAGCTGACAAAGATTTTCTTACATTATTTAGGCTGCTCTTCACTCTGTTGTTTCCTTTGCTGCACAGAAAGTTTTTAATTGGATGTAATACCATTTGTTGATTCTTATTATTATTTCTTGTGCTTTTGGAGTCCTATTCAGGAAGGCCTTGCTTTTGCTTATGACTTTGTTTCCCCTACTTCTTCTTCCAGAAGTTTTAAAGTTTTAGGTGGTATACCAAGATTGTTGATCCACTTTGAATTGATTTTTTTACAGGGTGAGAGATAGGGATATACTTTCGGTCATCTACATATGGATAGCAAGTTTTTCTAGCATCATTTTTTGAAGAAGCTGTGTTCTCTAATGTAGGTTTCTTGACCTCTTTACCAAGAATTAGATGGCTATGGTTAGAAGGTTTTGTTACTCTTTCTTCCATTCTATTATTTGTCTATTTTTGTGCTGATGACATGCTGTTCTTTTACTGTGGCATTATATTATATTTTCAAATTGTGTATTGTAATTCCTACAGCATTGCTGTTTATGCTCAGAATTGCTTTGGCTATTCTTGGTCTTTTATATTTCCATATTAATTTTTGGATTGCTTTTTCCAGTTCTGTGAAGAATGTCATTGATATTTTGATGGCTATTGCATTGACTTTGTAAATGACCTTCAGTAATGTGGTCATTTCAATAATGTTTATTCTGGCGATCCATGAACATGGGAGATTTTTCTATCTTCTAATGTCTTCAAATTCTTTACTTATGTTCTGCACTTTTCTATCTATGGGTAGGTTGATGATTAGATTTTTTTTTTCAAGTGGTTGAGAATGGATTTGCTTTCTTGGTTTTTCCTCAGCTAGTTCATTTCTATATACTAACAGTTATCTAAAAAGAAATTAAGAAAACAACCCCATTTGTAAAAGCAACAAGAGATATAAAACACTTACCTTTAAATTTAACCAAGGGGGTAAAAAACTCTGTACAATGAAAATTGTGAGACATTGGTGAAAGAAATTAAATAAAGTCCAAATAAGTGGAAAGATATTCCATGTTCAGGGCTTGAGAGAATTAATGCGTCTAACATGTCTGTAATTTGGATATACATAGAAGCAGGAGTGCTGCATCATATGGTAATTCTATTTGGAATTTTTTGAAGAATTTCCTATTTTCCCCAATGAGTATACCTATTTAGATTTACACTAGCAATGTGCAGTGGTATGCCTTTTATTTCCACACCCATAGCAATGTTTTTTTCTCTTGTCTTTCTGATAAGTATTCCAAGAGATGTGAAGTGGTATTTCACAGTGGTGTTAATGTGCATTTCTTTGATGTTGTGCTTTTTTTTAAAAAACGTATCTGCTGTCATTGTATGTCTTTTTTTGTAAAATGTCTCTTCAGGTATTGTATTAGTTAGCTTTTCTGTTACTGGGACACAATATACAACACCCAGAATTTAAAGGAGTTTTAATTTGGTCCATGGTTTTAGGGCATCAGTATATAGTCAGGAGGTTCCAAGGTACAGAACTGTGGTGGAAGGGAATGGTAGAGCAAAACTGCTTAGCTCCTGGCTCCTGGGAAGCAGAGCAGAGAAGCAGAACCAGAGAGGAGAGGCCAGGGTCCACGCACAGACCTCAAGGCCACACTTTCATGACCCACACATATACACCCATAGGTGTATCCCCTAGGTCCATCCCAAAGCCAATCAAGTTGACATTCCACCCTCATCACCAAATCCCACACCTTGTCAACCTGATATGAAGGCATATGTCTTTATTTCATTTTTTTCAATGCTTTTCCAGTTTATTTTCTGATCAGAGAAATACTTTGAAGAACATGATTGTGAGCATAGGAATGCTAGAAAGGAAACAATCAAGAATATGCAGGAAACAACAGCTAACTGAAATTTTAAATCACCTAAGTATTAGTATAAAAACTTTTTAAAAAGTCTGTGTTTTTTAAGACAGGGTCTTGTTATATAGTTCTGGCTGGCTTTGAACTCACTATGGAGCCCAGGCTGGCCTCAAACTTGTGGAGATTCTCCTGCCTCAGCCTCCCCAGTGCTAGGATTATAGGCATGCGCTACCACACCTATCCCCCCAAATCAATCTCATGACATTTATTTTAAATGTTATAAATTTACAAATTATAAACGTTATAAATGCTATAAGTTAGCATTTATAATTGTAGTAAAATAAAGCTTTGCAAAATTAAATTTTCTTAACATTTACTTTCAATATCAAACTAATCATTTAGGGTTTACTTCAATGGTAATACTTTACTTTTCTTTTAAACATTCCTGTCTACTTAAAATGAAATGCTCCCTAATATGGCCGCCAGGCTATAACACGAAAAGTGAACTTTTGCAGCGAGTGTGCTCGCCGCCGCAGCCAGCCAGCCGACCAGACCTGCAGTGTCGGAGGATGATGGCGGAGGGACGGCTTGGTGCGGCTCGAGTAGCTGTTCCTGCGGTGGTTGCCAGGGTCTCCCTCTGCTCCTGGTCTTGAGCAGAGACACAGCCCGAACACAAAGAAATCTAGGAAAAAGAATTCAAGGGATTCTGGTTGTGATGGCGCATGCCCGTAATCTCAGCACTGAGGAGCTGTATAGTGAGACCCTTTCTCAAAAAACTATAAACAAAAAAACAAAACCAATTTTTTTTTTCTCGAGGGCCATGCAAGCCAATTGTAACCCATTACACAGTTCGCCAGGAACTGCAAGTGCTGAGGGTGCCTCACTCCCACAGTGAAGCAAGGTAGCTTGATCGTACTGCCACTAGAGTCTGGTGACCATAAAAATATCTCCTCAGAATTTTGTTCTCCCTTTAAGTGGTAGCAAAAAGGTCTTCCATATATTTTGATTCTGGGCGTCAAGATTGTTATGCAGCATATAAAAGAGATTTCTCTTGGAATCCCTGTTGTAAACAACTTTTATGTATGCAAATGAAGGCTTTTTTTTATTTTAAAAATAAAAGGAGGAAAATATTAACAGACAGACAACATTTTACAAAATAGCAAAGGAACAGTACAGACATTACGGAGTTATAAACAGAGTGGTAGGGAATTAACAATGCTTGTTGTATTACATATTGATATCTTCAAAGTGGTTTCTCATGAAAACAGATATAGACATACAAAGCTGATCAACCAAGGATTCATTGAC